TATCAACACTGGGAAATGAAGGAGGGGCAGTGGGAGAATAAAGGAGAGCAGAGATGAGGAGGTAGGGATTTGGTGAGATGATTTCCCACAGCAGGGCTGTGTGGAGGGGCTCTCCTGTCATCAGCAATGGACAGGGAGCAGAGGCAGCTGTGTGCCAAGCTGTGGGAGCAGAAAGCTCTGCAGCATGCCAAGGCAAAGTCCTGTAGGAAAGGGAGATGGAACTGTCCTGATTCTTGATATGAATGTGAACCCCCAATTTATTTTAATAGTTTTACTAAGTTTTTAACCAGCACCACACCCAGTATCGCCAGAAGTCAGAACAGTACATTTAAGATTGAAGTGTTTTCTGTTTTGAGTTAGGAAAACATAATGAGTTCTAAACAGGAAAAAGGAAGGGGGAAAAAAATAATATGAAGTTTTATTTCCTTTACACAACTTTTAGAGCCTCAACATTACTAAAGGTGTGAATACAGATGTCTGACAGTTTTGAACAGTTTAATACTGCTGTGTCTGTGGTAGCACATTCCAGGTCACTGGGAGGACTTTGAATGTCTTCATTTAAAAGATAATTGGCTTCTAGGGCTTCCCTCGCTGGGGAGCCTCATTCCAATTAAAACTTGAGTATTGTTGTAGCTCTGGCTTTTGGTTCTGGTCATTTTATAAATGGTCTAATTCTGGGGGGGCTGAAGTCAAGTTAATTTCTCCTCTCCTAAATTGAGGTTTTAAAGAACCCTGTGTGATTCTGGGAAAGAAATCACAAGTACACAGCAGATGTCTTATATTTGGAGGTGGATGTTACAGAGATGGTGGCTTCAGATCAAGAAATAGCTGGCGACGTGTCCGAGTTGTGAAATAGTTAATCCTAAAGTCAGTGTTTTGTAGGAAGCCCTATTCTGGGATGCTAGGTGAGCTCAGGGTCTGGAAAGCATTGGGTCACAGCAGCTTCTTCCAATTCACTCCACTTTGTGTGACTCCTGGGAGTCAATTGCTGGCGGTTTAATACCATTTCCAGCCCTGGAAATTCCAATTTTGCAGTTCAGAGTTTTCTTCGGGGGAAGAGAACCAAGAAAAAAAAAACAACAGCAATACCGCGATCCCGTTACTTTTGCTGCGAGAGCTGCCATATGGGGTCCAGATATCACTGACGGTCACGGCCGAAAAACACGCACCTAAGGAAACCGGTGCGTTACGGCTGTTAACGCCCCAAAGCGCAGGTATTCGGAAGGATTTTGGGGCCGCGTGGGCTCTCCAGGACAACACCACCCCCGTCCCGCAGAACCCGCCGGGACACGCGCAGGGCAGGACGCGCATCCCAGGGCGCACCGGGGAGCGCGGGGCGGGGGTCGGGCCGTCCCGCCGTGACCCCCCCGCCAGCGGGGACACCCCTCCCGCGTCCCCCCCCAGCCCTTACCTTGCCGGGGGAGGCGGCGCGGGCGCGGGCCAGGGCGTCCAGGCGGGCGCTGTACTGCGTGAAGCGCTTCTGGTACCGCAGCGCCGTCACCTGCAGCTCCAGCTGCGCCGCCGCCAGCCGCGACAGCAGCGACTGCTCCCGCTTGCCGGCGCGCAGAGCCTCCTTCTTCAGCGCCTTCTCCAGCGCGGCCGCCCGCGCCTGCAGCGCGGCCCCGTGGGCTCGCAGGGCTCGCAGGCAGCCGTGGCCGCCCGCCCGGCGCTCGCCGTGGGTCAGTACCAGCCCGCAGCCCTGCTCGCACAGCCCCGCGGGCCGCGCCTCGCAGCGCTCCCGCATGTGCGACTCCACATCGCGCAGGTTGAGCACCTGGCGGCAGCCGCGGTTGCGGCACTTGGCCGGCGAGAAGTCGCAGGTCTCGGCGTGCTCGCCCAGGTGCTGCAGCGGCACCACCGCCTCGCAGCCCCGCGCGTGGTTGTCGCACTTGATGTCCAGCTTGAGGATGAGGCTCTTGAGGGGCAGGACGTGGTTGAGCTCCTTGGTGGAGATGCGCTGGCAGTTGACGGGGCAGCTGCCCTGCTGCACCACCCAGGGCAGGACGCAGCCCGCGCAGAAGACGTGCCCGCAGGGGGTGGTCAGCGGGTCCTCCAGCACCTTGTTGCACAGGTTGCACTTGAAGTCGGGATCCACCTCCCCGCTGAAGCGATCCAGCTCGAACCCCATCCTCCTTCCGCTCCGCCGAAAACGGCCGAAAACAGAAAAGAAAAGAAAAAAAAGGAAAAAAAAAAAGCCCAGAAAAAGTACCCGGAGCGCGGAGACGGGACAGGACGGGCGGAGAATGGAAATAAATAAGTATCAGCCGCTCCCGCCGCCGCCCGAGAGGGAGCTCAGCCCCCCGCCCGGCCCGCGGCCGTGCCCCGTCCCCGCCGGTCCCGGGAGCGCCCGGGAACGCGCCCCGCGCGCGCTCCCGCCGCCGCCCGAGCACAGGGACCGCCCCGGCACCGCCCACCGGCACCGCCCACCGGCACCGCCCACCCGGGGCGCCCCGGGGTCCCCCCCGGCCGGGGACGGGGGGACAAGGGGGTCTTTGTGTCGGGGAGAGGCGGGCGGGGCGCGGGGTGGGCTCCGGGCTGGTACCCGCTTCCCCCCGGGAGGCGGCAGGTAACCGGGAGCCCCGGGATGCGGAGAAGTGCGGGGGGAGCGGGAGGGACGGGAGGGGCGGGGAGGAAGGGGCCAGTGATGGGGAAGCGGTGGGAGAGGAGGGGAGCGGGGAGAGAGGGCGGGGAGGGGGGAGCGGAGGCGGGAGGGTCGCGGCTGGGTGTGACAAGGTGAGACGGGGCGGGGAAGGAGCAGCATCGGCCGCCGGGACGGACGGGATGGTTGCTCGGAGAGGGGCGATGGGGCACATCGGCTGGGCGCAGGGACGGCAAGGTCAGGCTGGTCCTACCTGGACTAGTGGAAGATGTCCCTGCCCGTGGCAGATGGTTTGGAAAGAGGTGGTCTTTAAGGTTCCTTCCAACTCAAGCCATTCTATGGTTCTGTGATGACTTTTGGAAAGGGCATGCATGGAGCCGCCTCTGGGATCGGTCTTGGACAAGCTGCTAAGAGGTTGGATTGAGTGTTCAGTCCTCAGGTGGGAATTCTTACACTACTGACCAGAAAAAGGGCAAACAGAACAGTCTGCCAGTGTGTGAGAGACTGAAATGTTAAGGGTTAATGATTTGCAAAAGCAGGAGGGTGCTTTGCTGAGGTTTGCCCCCCCGAACCAGAAAGGGAAGAGGAAAGTTTTTAGGTGTGTGATGGCAAAACCTCTGGTCTGCATGAGAACAGCCCAGTACAGAGGAGGGGAGCACCCACCATGGGAGGATGACCATGATAAACCAGCCTTTGTTTAGCAACAAGCTGGGTTTTGAGCCAGATGGGGGAGAAGGATGATAAGAAACACATCCTGCGGAGGGGGGATATTGCTTTCTCTCATGGCAATGTCCTCCCTTACACAGCTGGCTCAGGTGTAGCCCCCCTCCCCTGGGGGAGATATTGGGACATTCACACATAGGCCGGAAGGTTTTCATCCCTTCTGAGAAGGCATAACTGGCTCAGCTATGCTGATGTTGGAGGCAGCTGTCATGTCCTAGAAGGGGTCACAAACCATCGAAGACCCCCAAAGTGCCCCCAGACTCATTTCTGGGGCCTTCCACCAGAGGACTGCACATGATCCACAGTGTTATATCACATAGTGTAAAACTGCTCCTCACAGGGGAGGAACCTGGGCATCCCCACCTGAACCTGAATCTGAACCTATATTAACCCACTGAAATTTATGTGTCCTGGGATTCCCCCACTCCTGACAGATCAACATTGGGCCAACACTTTGACCAACACACATCCAAATTGCAGCAATCAGGTCTCATTGCTGGATCTGTGGGTGGGGATACATTTCCAGTATCTACTGTTATCTTTCTTTCTCTTTCTTTCTTTTCCTTATATATGTTCTTAAGTGATATCTTTACACATATATAAACACCAGTCATTCAGTGCTGTTTCACTCTATCCTGAGGGATTTATTAACAAGATCCAAGGGATCTGTTAACTAGAACCTCAGTTACCCCACCTTTGGGGGCGGGTCATACCACAGTGCTGCCCGTATCCTCATGGAAAAGGGGTAAGTTTTTTCTATATTTGTGTAGCCTGTTAAAGCCCCGTTAATGCCACTTGGATGTAAGTGATGGAGGTCGTTAAAGGTCACCACTTTTGATACTCGTTTCTGCCTGGTGATGATTTAAAAGCACTCCTGAATTATGCTATAAAAAGCCAGCCAGACCACACCTGAAGCACCAGACATAGCATTAAGCAAAAACAATTTCTCTTACAAGGCTGATATTCAAATACTGAAAAAAGCAATAAAAGAGACCAGCTTTGTTCATTGTGGATGGCGGCACAGAATTCTCACATGCACCACAGCCACACACCAGCTCAATTGTTCTTTTAATGTGTTTTGCTTTATGGCAAAGCAGAAGCCAACTAGAAACTTCAGTTTCAAGTGACCTTTGGTGTATGTCTATTATATCACAGTAAAACGACTTTCTGAATGCCTGGGATGATTATTTGTGTGTTAGTGACCTCTAGAAGGTAACAGATTCATGGTTACACAACTGTGCTCCAATTTCAGTCTCAGGCAAGGAGTTTTTAGTATTAAGGGTTTTCACTTTTCAAATATGAATTCCATCTGTGGTGCTCGTTTTAATTATTAATGTTCCATAAAGCTTAAGGTAGCTTTTGGCTGTATTCATTGCCCTGCTGAAGAAAGTGTGCATCATATATTTAGGGTGATATACCTAGCTAAGGAATTTTTTACAGATTTGTTCCTTAAAAAAGAAAAAAGTAAATGTTGTAATATGGGACTGTGCATGTAGGTTTCTGTAACTCCATCTGAAGGCCGTGCACACTCCAGGGCCGTGGTGATAAAGTTTAATTAATACATGTATATTGCTGACTTTTGCATTATTCTATTTAAACTAAAGTAACGATTCTCATATTTTCTTCTCGCGCTTCACTGCCTTTTGCATCTCTCTTCTCTTTCCCTTCTCTTTCTCTGCTCACCACCCTCTCCTGCCATTCCCCTTGCTGCAATGCCACATCTCTTTCCTCCCTCCACCCACTGGGATCACCAGCCCTGCACTGCTGAGTCTCCACCCTTTATCTGCAATGTCACTACACACCTCGCTGGTAGGACGCTGTTGTTTTGCAGTTTGTCACAAAAACTGGAATAGCTGTTACTAATCATGACATCTGTTTTTCCAGAGGCATTTTATGTGAGATAAAACTTCGGGTTCCGTGGGGATGCAGCTGAGTGACTTGAACGTTGGTGTTCACTGTGGTGACTGCTGTATCATCTGATGGTGAAATCCATCAGTACAACTAGTTCTGAACAGGTTGTTTTAAGATAACTGCTCTAAATTAATGACCACTGTCTTGTGACCTTCTTTACCCAAGTTTTTAAGGTGCCTCATGCGTTCAGGATGGTTATATACAGAAAGAAATTAATTCCTTCAGCAACAGCCGTGGCAGTTTGGGTTTAGCATTTCAAAGCTGTCACTCCAGGATGCTCGAGGCCACTCGTGTGGAAGCCAGAGGCAGAGCTTTTATTGATTTCCACGAGAATGACGTCAGCACCAGGTTCCTTCGGCTATTCGAAACTACACAAATATTTGGATGGAAAATACAGGCAAGAACTGGAATAACATGTTCACTTGGAGTCATGGCTAGGCAGATGGTGTGCTGAATTCTGTGATACGCTTTAATGTGACATTTATGTAGGAATAGATACTTTATTTATAAATTAAAACTTTTGAAGGCCACTGAAGGCTTGCACTGAGACTACAGTTTGAGTGCTGACAGGGAGTTGAAGTTCCCCTCTCCCTGCTGCTGCTGTCCATGGGAGAGGGCACATATGGAGCTTTCCCTACTGGAGACACATTTCAGTTCTCCCTTGAAAAAAAAAAAATGTTTAAAAAGCAGCCTCTCAACATGAGCCTTTAATGTTATTTTCAAAGCCTGAGGTTTGTGACTGAGGAGAGGTTTGGTTTCCAGGGCTGAAATTACACTGCCACAGCTCAGGAAGGTCGTTTTTATTTAGTCAGTTCTCTCATCATCAGAGGTAGTGCTGGGGTGGGACCACTGCTGAGCCATTAGGGCTCTCTCATTTAACTTTGCTGTCCTGTCATAAGGAGGGTGAGGGCACGTTTGGGATGTAGCACAGACACAATGCCAGCTCTCAAAGGGCTGCAAAGCTGAGGCTTTTGCTGCAGGTTTCAGTCAGTCTTAGTTTTTTTCCCTGCTGCTGTGAAGCTTCCAGTCTCACAGAAAATCAAACGCCATTCATCTTAACCTGCCTTTTGTCCATAAAGGTTGGAATCATTTTACAGTGGATGATGATGTCTTTGAAAGAAACCTGATTTTTTTTGCATGAGTTTACCTTTAAAAACGTGGTAATTATTAGGTAATGCAGATAAAGAGTCAAGTCCTTCTCCATGTCAATCATCTGTGTCATTCTGACAACCCCCCTAAGGTTAATAGGACACTTCCAATGTAACATTGTCTTCCTTGTGCACTTAGTTTGAGAGTTGAAGCCTTTTGGAAACTGCAACTCACAGTGGTCCTGGACATACTTAAAATTTAGTGTATCTAGAATATGTGAGATATATTAAAATGTATCTAAAATGTTAAGATCTTCTCAACCTTCTGTTCACTGTGAAGCACTGACGCACTGCACAGAGTTACAAATTTGAAAGATTCTGTATTCTTTGACATTTTATGACCTTTTTTGTACTAATTGTGTCTTCCATGTATTTCTTTATCTGTCTGTGTGGCTGCTATCATTAAATTTCAAGTGAACTTGGTTCGATCCTTTATTTTTACTGCTGGCAGAAATGTAAGTTTGCATTAATAGAAGGTGCACAGAAGAGCTGGGGAACGTGGACCAAATAAAATGTCAGACTTGCGATGGGAGAACTATCAAGCACAGCAGAGATGGTTTGCAATGATAACAGTTTATATGACATTTATTTTAAGTATTTTGCGAAAGGTTAAACTCTGACTTGGCAGCTGATCTGGATTTCAGGATTTTATGTGAGCAGAAGGTCAATACAATATTAAAGTGGATTCTTAAAAGTAAATGGTGTATAAACAGCAGGCCAAGAGGCATCAAAAATCCAAGTCAGATCCCTCTGTTCCAGGAGGAACATTTAAGCAGGAAGTAGGAGAGAGCACGAGAGCATCCTTTTCTGATGTTCCACACGTATTTTTGAGTCCTTGCTGAAAAACCACTTCACTGCCTCAGAAATCTTGCTGCCTTCAGACAAACTTGAAGGACCAGAAACATTTGAGCCTCTTTCATAACTGGCTTCTTTCACCTCATCTCTTCACATAGCTAAAGTCATAGTAGAGTTTATATTATATTCATGAGTAGTTGAGAGGAAAAATCCACAAGAATTTTGGCTCTAAGTACACATTCCTATATTAATATGGATAGAGAAAAATATAAAATAATGTTCTTTCTGGGGCTTTTTAGGAAATTTGATCAGTCAGCCGTGTTGACTTTTGTTGTTCTTTGTCTGAATAATTACATTATTCACCACTACAATATCTCAGAGTCTTGAAGTTATTTATTATACATTTTATTATTAACAATCCACTTTGTGATAAGGGAGAATTAGCCAAGTTTTAAGACCGGGTTTAATGAAATGTGGGATAAAAGAAGTGCTCGTTGTAATTCAGAAAATCTTTAGCTGAGTGCTAAAAATTGAATTCTGCTTTTCTTGAGCTGTCCTTCACGGGGTATTGGAGCCAGTTTTGGTGAGCAGTTGCTTTCTGTGAGTAAGCCTGTGATTTGAGTACAAGGCTGAGGCCCAGACCTGACCACTGCTTGCCTGAAACTACACAAGGATTCCAAATTTCTGTGGGGGCTACATCCCAGAAAGCATTCAGTATCCAGTTTATAAGGCCACAAATCTTTGAATTTCCTCAGCAGTACAAAACCACGCAGTAGGTATCAAATTCTGATGTAGACACCACATTTTGTACTGTATAATTTCTTTGTCTTTTGCTCCCTTATTTAAACAATTTAGAGAGAGAGAACTGACATCATACGTGCCTGCTTCCCTTTGACACATCTTACACGTTGTAAGTAATGATAATGTTTAAATCCAGACTGTAATTAACTCAATGGTAATGGGTGGGACATAAAACACAGGCCATAATTTAGAGGCACATTCTCGAGGAGTTTGTGTGATGAATTCAGCGATGGTGGAGGTCAGAGAATGGAGAGTGCTGACTGAACACAAATTGCTGAGCATCTTCTCCCCGTTTTCCATGCATATGGATGTTACAGACCTGTCAGGTTGTACTCGCACATGCAGCATTTCACATGAGTAGGTGTGTTTGGGATTGTATTGAGCTGACAAATCTGATTGCCCTTAATTGACAGTCTGGCCCCATGAAAAAGAGGTGAAGCTGCGTTTATCCGTGACTGTCTGTTCGCATGGAAGCATTTCCTCGAGTCTTTAAGTCCAACCCTCTTCTCTTAAGACGTGAAAAATATTCCTGTTTTCGAGAACAGGGAATGGAAACTAATTCAGTTTTCTTGCCGGCAGGATGATTGTGAATAATGTGGAATGTTCCGGTTTTTCCACATCAGCAACGCTGCTTTATCTCAGGATGCTTTTGTTCCGCTTCCAAAATAAACAGTTGTTAATACTTGCACGAGGTGTATTTGACAAGCAGGCTTTTGAGATCATCCACTATTCCTTAGGTAAGCAGCCGCCCTGCTTATGTATTTACAGCTCTGTTTACATTTGTATAAACTAAGCAAAAAATCCCTTTTAAAAACATATGTCAGTTCAAACCCAGAAGCCTTATGGAAAGCCCAGGCTGTGTAGTAAAAATTCTTAATTTCTGGGTCAGGTGAGCCTCAAGATGGAAAAGAAAAACAGGGTTAGGACAGTGCTGGTTTTGCCTGATGAGGAGGCAAAGCCCAGGGGCACTTATGGGTTCAGGGAGGGCCTAGAGCATCTTTGGAGGATTAATCCAGCTGTTGGTACTTACCTCTGTCTCTAAATTACTGGTTGCCAGGGGCTAGGAGAGAATCCCTGCTAACAGACTGTGCAAGATGAGTATCCCCAGCTGATTGCTCTCAGACACAGGATTCTGGGCTTGATGACCTTTAATTTGATCCTAATTGAGCTTTTGGCTACATTTTTATTCTTTTTCTGATAGTCAAGTTGGTTTAGAAAATGCTGGTGGCTTAAGGCAGCCTTTTAATTCAGTGCTCTTGGATTTTCTGTGGAGTTTATATTGCTTTAAAACACAAGTTTTTAAAAAGGAAGTTCCAGGACTTAGTAAGCACAGGTTTTAAAGAGTTATTTCTTTATTTCTTGTTGGGAGGGGGGTTGGGATAAAATGAAGCCACGGGTAGAGGGGTGTAACAGGGCTTTGTGAGGTTGTGAGGTTACACCAGGTCAAGCCATTGTTTTTCTCATTAATAAGCATCAATATTTACTCTGAATTCAACACGGTGCAAGTGATGGGAGTTGTGTGTATTCTGGAGCCCAGTCCCTCAGTTTAGAAGAGGAAAGAAGGTACATCCCACCTATTAAACTTGCTCAGTTTTACTGTTAAGAGACAAAAGGTCTTTTTTGAAACATGAGGAAGTTCTGTGGTTTTTTTCTCTTAGAAAGAGAAAGATCACACTTGAAGGTAAGAGGACTCTTCCTCTTTGCATCAGCAGAGTCCTTTGGGAGCTCTGAATTTCTTTAGGATTCATGGCTGAGTGGGTGCAGAGACCCCCAAGGCCTTTCCAGAGGGGCTGGTTTATGTAACTTTCTAATCATGCAGTGATGTGGAGTGTCAGGAGCTTCTAAAATCCCTGTTTGTGCTCTGAACACCCAGGACTGGAGTTCAATCCTCCTGCTGTGCCAGATCCATTCCAATGACCTCCTTAAATATTCATATTCAGAGCTATCTTGCTCTAATGAAAAACATTTCATGCAGCTCTTATAACTCTTTCACTTTTAGCCTTATTTCTGTTTTTTGAATGTCTTGATCTAGGCAGCTTCCAGCTCCTCTCTTCTTTTTTTCCTTTCTCCTTTTTTTTCCCCCTTTGTGGTTTTGCAATATTAAGTATGCCCTGAAATTTCATTAACATTTTAGACGTTTAGCTTAAAAGTTGGTGTTCCTAAGATCTTTTCTACCCTTTGACAAAGGTTCTAAAAGGAAGAAAAGTAGTATCTTTCTATTTTGGCAGGCTCTGCTCCATTTGTCAGTGACAGAATGTGAGCCTCTTGGCAAAACAGTTTTTAATATAAATACTAGATCTGACTGCAAAAATAAAAGCAGAGTTTTCTGAGAAGTCCTTGAAATATCAAGTTTGTTGTCACTATATCAAACTGGAAACAGATCATTATAAGGGAATATTCTCCATGGGTTTTTTACAATTTCTAAATGCAAAATGTAAATTTACTGTACAAGTTTTTTTGGTAAAGTTGTATTGAAATAGATACAGAGGGTTTTTTTCCCTTTGAAACAACCAGTCTTGAAAAAGAAGTTATTTTGTTAACCCAGGATGCCACACAAAAATGCAAGAAAACTGCTATCTAAAAAATTAGCAAAGTAATGATAATAATGCAGTTAATGCTGTGTTTTAATTAACCACAAAACAAGGGCAATTTTCAAATACGTTAATATAGGCATGATCTTAACTTTTACAACAAGATCTAATAAAGGACAAGTCACCAAGAGCAGGAAGGAGACTGTTTCTTATTTGTTTGGGTTTTTAGGAGGACTTACTAATGCGGCTGAAACTTCAGATTTTGGAGAACAGAAGATGGTTTGGAGCAGAGGACCACTGTGGATATCCAAGTAAGTCAAGGCTGGAATGAGCTCTGTGCTCCATTTTCAGCATGGGGATAACTTTCCCTCTGCAGAGCTGTGAGTAGGGTCAGCAGCTTTGATAGTGAGGGGGGTGGAGATGAGGATGGAGATTTTTGTCCCAGGAAGTGCTGTGGGTGTGGTATAGAACAGAGAAGGAAACAAATGGAGGCTCCTGAGGGAGCAGCTGACATCCTCTGGGAGGTGAGGAGGCTCCTCTGGAGAGCAAAGCTGGTCCCACTTTGTGGGGAGCTGTGGGAGCTGTGGTGTGTTTGTGCCCTCGGAGCTCTGGATTTGTACCTGGGTTAAATGGTTCTCAGGTCACTCTTTCTCACTTGTGTTTCGTGCTTTTACAAGTTCACCTCCTACAGAGGTTGTTCCCAAGCCTGGTGTGTGCATGGAGGGGTAGAAGGGCCTGGAGCAGTTTGTGACTGCCCAGCCAGACACGTGCCAGGCATGGGGCTGAGCTCCTTGAACAAACCATGCCAGTCTCTCAGGTCCACTGTGTGGCTCCTTTGGGCCAAAGCCTTCCTCTGGGAAAAGAGTTGGGAGTGGGACAGGAATCCTTTTGATGTCATATCCCTATGTTTTTCTAAAAACTAGCTCCAGGATGAATCAGGATTGCTCCACTTTTATACCTCTCTGTAAAAATTTCCATTGACATTGCAATGGGAATAAAACTTTGAAAATGGTCTCAATAGCAGTTCCAGGGGTATTGCTTCTCTTCTCCTTCTCTTTCACTGCAGCTCATGTTTTCACCATATAGTTAAACTGGGAGGCTGAAAGCTTAGCAATTTATTTAGGATCAAGGCTTCTTCCCAGACTGCAGAGAATCCTGCTAAACATCAGGAGAAGGTCTGACCAGTAACAAGTACTGAGTGTTAATGTTTGGTAACAGATCCTTTTCTGTAGCTGCTTGCTGCTGCAGGCTATTTTAGGAAGATGATTGTTTTCAGTATAATGGCTTAGGCTGTATGTTTGTGTATTGCTTTATAACAATGAGACTTTAGGAGATTGCTCCCATACCTACTCCTCCTGTTCTGCTAATTCATTTTCCATTAGACAGCATTTACAAAGACTACAGCAAGGTTTTTCCATACCCCAGTTAAAATAGCTGCCCTTTGTAAAAGCTCTCTGTGCCATAAAGTCAGGGAGACCTCACTGATGGTACTCGAGGCCAAGGCAAACCCCTCTCACCATGTGCCAGCTGGGACTGCACCAGCATCCTGCACACACAGAAATTTGCTGCAAGGCCCCTCCTGACATTTGCTATTGAAACAGCTGTATATTGGGGGTGGGAGATGCTTTTCCTACCCAGTCTGTTGTTTGATCCTCAGGACTGGAGCTAAGAGACATGTGGGAAGAGAGGGCTGGTTGTGTCTCCCCAGACATGTTTATATAAGACCCTGCTTGCTCTGTGCTGTGTTCCTGCCTGTGTGCAGTCAGAGTGGAGATGTGCTGCTACAGCCCCAAGCAACTCAAGCTCCAAAGCCCGTCCCTTTAGCCCAGTCTCTGAAGACTAATTTATTTGGTTCTGAAGGCAGGTATTACCTAAAGATATATTTGTTTATTCTGCAATAGCTTTATGCCTTCCAACACTTTTTTTATTACCCACGGTGGAAATTGACTTTTTTAGCCCCTCAATGGAGAGAGAAATTCAGTAATGTTTGTAAAGAAAACTGGGCTTACTGGTGAAAAATCATAAAAAACCCATGGTACAAATATTTTTTTTATAGATTATTGGAGCTTGATGAAGTAGACCCTAGTGAATGATTTAAGTCATTGAATAACAAGATAGAAAGTAATGGAAAAAGCCAAAGGTAACAACCTCGATGGTAGAGTTAAATGATTTATCTGACTATAGCTATTCTGAAGGCAAAGGTTAGTGTACTGAACTGGTGTTAGGAATTATTTCAGGAGGCATGCAAAGCCCTTTCAAGTTGCTGAAATTTGTTTATGTTGTACATTTGCCATTCCCTTACCATTAGCCTCAGTTATTTTATAAAAGTACTGCATTGACCTCTGCTGTGTGCAGTGAGCACACGTGCAGTTACCAGGAGTTCACTGAAGACAAACAGGCTGAAATAGGAGGGCACCAGGCAAAAGTCAGGGTAAAACTGCAGATAAAAATGGTAAGGTCACAGGTGGTTTTTTAAATAGGGTAAAATGCTATAATTCATGATTTCATATTTTGCCAAACCCGCTGCCCATGTCAGTTCTCTCCCTGTTGCTCTTCTTTTGTTTCTCCTTTCATTTCTCCTCTCATCTCCTTGTCCCCTCCCTGTTTTCTCATCTCCCACTGCCTACCCGTGTCACTGCCATTCTGAATCTATCCAACCCACTGCATCTGGTTTTACTTGGCTGTCCTTGGCAAGCCTGTTAAATTGCTCAAGGGGTTGGCTTCTTCCTGGAATATCCACCCTTCTGGGGCCTTGGCTGGTAAATGTTAATGCTCAGGCTCTGTCTGCCGCTGTTGGTGGCATTTTGCAGTTGTTCTTGCTCTCTGGAGGCAAGTCTGTCACAAGGACAAAGACCCTGCTCTCAAACACTGAGGTTTCTGCACAAGAGGGCAACATCACAGGGACCTGGAAAAAAGAGTAGAGCAGAACAGGCTGCAAGGTATTGTCTACATACCTTTCAAAGTCATGAACTTATGGAGAAAGCTTTAAAATAGAACAGTGGAGGGGGGTGGAGGCAGGGGCTGTGCTGGGGAAGCTGCTTCTCCTCTTTGGTTGGAAAGACTATCCCCCACGGGGCAGGACAAGGGGAGGGGGGTGTATAATCCTTAAAATGATGCTGAAAAAGAAATATATCTCAAGGGATAAAATCTGAGGAGACAACTACAACTCTAGTGAATATAAATTGCTTAAGTGACACTCGGTCCTGTGCAATGCAAAGCAGGCTGTTTTGGTTAAAACAGTGCCTGTATTCTTGAAAATTCACAAAAGCTGATTAAAATTAATGGTAAGCCAAGAGGGAGGAAGGTGGGAGACTGGCAGATTTCTTGATGTGTCTCTCATCTTGGTGGGAGTAGCAACGAAGGGAGCTCATTATAGAAACAACACACAACTTAGCCTTGCCCTTTCCTAGCAAGAAATGCTGCTACATGCAGTGTATTTCTGCTTTAGCATTGATTTATCTGAGGGATAAATCAGCTTCTTTCATTATTATTTGCTGTTGATTTTTTTCATATGGCTCTACTACTTGACTGCTATTTTCCCATAGCATTTTCCCAGCATGCCTTCAGAAATATCAGAAAATGCTCACAAACGCTCCAGAAAAGTGCCAGCTAAATATTCCACAAAGTGCTTGCAGAGCTTGTGCAATGCTTCCCCTGGTCTCTCCCAGCTGTTTTTTAGCATTGATCTAATATTTCCCCCGTGGGCAGTTAGCATTTTTGTGACATTAAACATGGTGGGAAGGTTGTGTTTCCACGTATGAATAAAGTGGCTGCTCTGATTTTTCAGAAGAAAATAAGTGTTCAGTGTTCCTCCTCAGCAAAAATCGCTGCTCCAGATTGCTGCTGAAGGGTTTGGTTTCTTCTGGTCTTTTGGGGTTGCCTGTGGCTTCTCCAAAGGAAATAAGGTACTTTTAGTATTACAATTCAGACTACTCAAAATACATAGCATGTGACACTTTGGTTTTCTTCTGGCATTGAATCAGGCTCTTAATGTTCTATATAACATTTAAGCAGATTACCTGAAGTATTTTTCAATAAACCTGTGTGCTAAAGAAGAGGGGGCTATGCCAGCTGCCTGCAGCATGAGGAGTTTAGGTTGTGTGGATGTACAGTCATACAAGTCCTACCCATCTCATGAAATACTTTGCATTCACTTCAGCAACAGTTCTTCTCTCTTTTCTTCCCTGTAAGTTGTTTCTAAACAGCATAACCCAAAGAAAGGCTGACAAAACCCAGCACAGGTTTCGTGCTGTTGGTTTGATGGTAATTGGTTCATCACGGGTCCAATCCTGAATTTAGCATTGCAGTCATGAAGCTCTGGACCTCTTTGTGTGAAACTGGGACTTTGGGAAGCACAAGAATCCTTATGCAGAATCAAGCCTCTAATCAGACTGATAAAATCTCAGTAATGCATAGTTGCTTTAGCAGGGCAGGTGAAATCCATGTTCCAGTTTGCAAAGCTCGTCTTTTGAGGATACACGTTTTAAAAAAAGTGTTGCAGGCTCTTCAAATCCATTTATCTCTGGTTATAACTGATAAAAATCAACTTGTACCATTTTTATAGAGCTAGTGGATGTCTTGAAAATGTTCCAGGTAGATCTTAACATGGTCTTCATGCAACATTGAGAGAAACTTGTCTCTTATCTGATATGTTGAGCTCTTCCTGCTAGAATTCAAAAGTGTCACTTAGATTTGGACTACACAGGTATAAAACTAGATAAAGTCATCTCTGGACAGAGCATTCCATGCTCTGGCATCTGCTGGATGGCCACTTTTCATAAAACATCAGAACTATGAGAGTTAACCTCACAATATTTCACAATTTCAATGCATTGCCTATTAGGAGCATTTTATGCCACCGGTAAATTCTACATTAGACTTAAATTATTAAGCTCTATGTTGGTTTTCTAGGCAAATACACATTAGTGGGACATCACACTGTACAGCAGGAGTTGTGCTGTGCATGCCAAATTCACATCCATTCATGGTTTCCAAAGGCCTGGAAGCATCAGTGCTCAGCATCTGACAACTGTGCTTAAGCAACCATCTACCATGAAAATTACCAAGTTTCCCCTCAGATTACTAGTGGACTATTTTCTAGTTTATTTTCAGCAATTCTGAGGTGGGGAGGGCAGTGAAATCTGATGCACTGATGCTCATAGAAGCTTTTTGATGGAAATACATACAAACACAGTAATACTTCCTTGCTGCACAGAAGGCACATTTCAGGATTCATGAATTTTTAAAATGACGAAGACAAACAAAGGAAATTTTACTGCCTCTGACCCAGATTTAGCAAAGGAAAACTCTT